TGCGAGAAAACTCAGACCCTTGCGGATGTGATGACGATTAGATTGAGTGTTTTCGATGTTCCTGCATTAATGGACGGGACAAATAGCCCTTTTCAATGAGAGCGAGTGGAAAGTCCTTTCTGACTGAGGATCCCTCGTTCAACATCTCGAGAAGTCCACCTCCCAAGCGAATATTGTCTTGATTGATAATTACCCTCGGTGGATGTTTGGTGATGTAAACAGGGCAAAATCATCATGCATGAACTTTCAAATGCGCATTCTGGAATAGCATAGCTTGTCTATCCTTGATGAATGCATGCATGTTTGCGCTAACCCTCTTTGATAGGTAAAATATCCTCAAAGACTCAAAGAATATATGACCTTTGGAGCGTCTCCAAAGATGTCACAAAAATTTCTTCTATTCCCCAAGTGGAATTGACACAGCATGCTTTTGCAGCTCAGAGTTCTAATCCCCAGTGACAGAACACGAAAATTCGGGCGCTGGAGAAGCCCTCATTATCATTCCAAGAGAGATGCCCCGAAAAAGGTCGGGTATTCAGCAGATGATACATCAAACCTTCGGGTAAGAAATCCCAGGTATTTCATCAGAATTCTTTTCAAACTACCCAAAAGGTAAACAGGGTGTTCCTTTGAAAAAAGAAAAGCATCTTGACTAGCTGGTCAAGATATTTCATACGATATTCAAGAATAGCCTCAGTTGTCTATTTCTCCGATGAATATGTATGTCTTTGCACAAAAAAACTTGTCTGACAGGAGACACGCCCTTAAGAGGCAGGAACGTGCCCAGGTAAGTACATTTTACCCATGCCTGATTCCAAAAATCCATGTACCTACGATTGTTATGGTACCCTTTGAACATCGGATTGACCCCTTTGTTCACCCTCTGAACATCGGATTGACCCTGTTGTTCACCCTCTGAACATCGGATTGACCCCGTTGTTCACCCTCTGAACATCGGAGTGACCCCGTTGTTCACTCTCTGAATATCGGATTGACCCCGTTGTTCACCCTCTGAACATCAGAGTGACCCCGTTGTTCACCCTCTGAACATCGGATTGACCCCGTTGTTCACCCTCTGAACATCGGAGTGACCCCGTTGTTCACCAACTGAACATCGGATTGACCCCGTTGTTCACCCTCTGAACATCGGATTGACCCCGTTGTTCACCCTCTGAACATCGGATTGACCCCGTTGTTCACTCTCCTGAGCATGGGACTGACCCCCATGTTCACATCAAATCCTCGGGCGAGGACCCCCAGGTGCTCATCGTTTGAGCCTTTTCAAGACCTGCTGGCGAGGACCCACCAGGCAAACCATCAAATCCTCGGGCGAGGACCCCCAGGTACTTTGTCAAAACAATCCCCGTCAAGGCGACCGAAGATAGGTTCGGGTCCTAGACAAACCATTTTTTCCGTCAAGGCGACCGAAGACAGGTTCGGGTCCTCGACACACAATATCAACTATCTAGAATTACTCTACCCTTCGGCAAGGTAAGTAGCCCCAGGTATGTTTTTATTTGCTTTAGCATGCATCATCTTATATCGCATCATAAAAATGGGACTCCGGTCTCGTCAAAAATAACATTCATTGAACATGCATGGGTCAAATTTAGGTGCCATTTTATCTTTGAACGTAACCTCTGCGAGCTCAATCTCTGCGAGCTCACCTTCAAAGAGGGGCAGCTGTTGACACCTATTTTTAATTTGCCCAAAATTAATTGCACAAAATTTAGGAGTTAATTTTGTTTAATTCCTAAAACAAAAATATTTCAATTTAAATATATTGCATATAGAAATTAGGCACATTTTGCATTAATAGGGTCTATTAGAGAAGATTAAAAAAAAAATTCGAGTCGAGCCGGGTCGGAGCTGGGCCGACCCGGCCCATTTCTTTTTTTCCTTTCCCCCCTGGGCCCGGTCCCTTTTTCTTTTCTTTTCTTTTCCCTTCACGCGGGCCCGGCCCGCTTTCCTTTTCTTTTCTTCTTTTCCCCCCATCCGCAGCTGGGCCTAGCCCGGCCCAGCCCTTCTTCCTTCCTTCCTTCCCCCTGCGCCGGTCGCTCTCTCCTCCCCTGTTCTCCCCTGTGCGCGACCGAAGCGTGACGCACGGCGGCGCCGCTCCTCATCGTCGTCATCCGGTCAGAGGAGGCCCAGGCGAGCACGCCACAGGGACTGGCCATTAAGGCCAGTCCCGTCTTCCCCATTTCCCAGGCTCTCTCTCCTCTCTGCCCCGTCTCTCTGCACCCTCTCTGCACCGGCCCCCCCTCTGCTCTGCTCTGCACCGGCCTGCCATGGCCGCGAAAATCGCGGGGCAGGTAGGCCGGTGCAGGCCGTCGTCATTGCAGACGTAACGAAGCCGGGGGACGCCGTCGTTCGCCTATAAAATCGAGAGAGAGAGAGAGAGAGAGAGAGAGAGAGAGAGAGAGAGAGAGAGAGAGAGAGAGAGAGCCACGGTCGGCCAATTTTGAGAGAAAACAGAGAAACCGTGAGAGAGACCCAGAGAAATTGAGTGAATTCGAGAGAAGACAGAGTGAACAGGGAGCCTCAGTCAGCCTCGCCGTTGCGCGTAACCTCCGGCCGCCGAGCCAGGGGCGGTTTTTGAGAGAAAAAGAGAGAGAGAGAGAAAAAGAGCACCGAGAGAAAACAGGGAGAGAGAGAGCAAACCGAGAGCTCGCCAGAGCAAGAAGGAGAACCAGCAGTGTCACCGTCGCCCACGGAGCATCCGGAGACCCCCAGAACGCGCCGTCGACCGGTGAGTCTCTCCCGGCCGAGAACCGCCTCTGTTTTCCCCTGTTTTCCGGCGTGGTTGGGCCGGGACTCGCGCCGGCCGTTTCGTGCGAATCCCGGCCCATACCGACGTCGATCCCGGTCCCAACTCACCGTTGGAGGCGAACCAAGGCCGTCGGAACCGACCGAGTCGCTGGAGGAGGCCGAGATCCCTTGATTTTTGCTGCGCACGCTACCTGCTCGATGAAATGCCTCAATGAGGCTGGTTTGTTTTTGGCCGCCGGCCGGCGAACGGGTGATCGGACGGTGACCCCGGTGGGTGGAGAGGTTTGATTTTAGTCCCAGGGGCCGATTTGGGGGCGGCGCTGGTCTGGGTCCGCCGGCGAGAGGCCGATTTTCGGCTTCGCCGGCGGCTGCTCCCACGGTTCGGTCTTACCCGGTTCAGCCGACCCGACCCGGGTCGGATCCGACCCGACCCGGTTTAATATTATATTTTTATTTTTATTTTTATTATTTTATTTTTAAAAAAATATATTAAAAAATTTCAAAAAAAAATTAAAATTTTTTTTTTCTTTTCTTTTCTTTTCTTCTTTTTCTGTATTATTTTTTTTCGAAAAAAAAAATTTAAATTTTAAATTTTTTTTTAAAATAAAAAAAAGAAGAAGAAAAGATCTTTTTTTTAAAAAATTATTGTGTGATATATTCTAAATGTTTAATTTATTGTAGTATTATTATGCATATTTTTGTCTTGTTTAAATTAGACAAGCCTGAGATTGCGCGGTAATATTTTGCATGTTATTTTTATTATCGCTGTATTATTATGCATGTTTTTAATACAATCGCATGAGTTGTGTTTTAAATGTCATCTGACTTAGTTAAGGTTAGAACCTTAGGCTGCATGAATTGTTGTGTTCCTGACTGCTAATCGTTTCTGATTATGCACTCGCTTGATCACCTCACATGTTAGGAGAAAGGTCCTAAAATCAATCCAAATTGCCTGACAAATGTTTTCAGAAATGAACAGGGTAAAATGGTACCGAAAGGGCATTAGTTATCCAACTAATGTAACCAAGTCCCCGAACTCATTTAATCTCTGGTTCGTAGGAATAGGGTGATTCTCCCATCACCCTATTTGAGTTTCTAATCGACCCACCCCAAATCGATTAGTGGCGACTCCTTGATATAAACCACTTGCATGTTAAAAACTTAAACCCTAAGTCGCGATATGGTATGGGCTTGGGAGAGCCCGAGTTAAGTCCCGAACCTAGACTTAGCACGTACCAGGCGTGCCCCCCTTTTTTTGCATGTTTGATAAAAAAGGGCTCGGGAGTTCGGTCGCGACACATAGATAAAGAAATCGATAGACATGGACAAAGGAACTTATTTCCTTAGACATAATAAATTATTATCTTCTTTTTTTTCCCAAACATAAGAAATTATTAACTTACTCAACCATACAACTGAAAATGGTTTAGTTGTTTTTAGATGAGATTGCCATTCGCTGTTTGGAAATTAAGAAGTTTTTAATGAGGTTGAAAATGATTTCCCCCTATGTTATGTGGGAAGAAAAATAGTGGAGAGAAAATGTGAGAATTGGATTTTATTTTATTTAGAAAGAGTGGGAATATGTATGAGAGTTGAGAGGATACATATATCCTTAAGGCAAATGACATTTTTGCCCTTCTCATTGTATGCAACTCAAGGCTTCAATATATTTTGAAATCGAGAAATTTCTATCGGATAAAAATGGGGGCTATCAATTTACTTCATAACCGATCAAAGCATGCCTTTTAATAAAAAGAAAAAAAAAACTAATCAAAGTATGCCCAAGTAATCTCAAAATGATCAATCAATATTGCAAGTAATATTTCTTCAAATTAAATAGTTAGCAATTATCTTAGTTTGCAGAATATTATGATGCCGGGGGGATAATTTTAAAAGTGAAAACATGACCTTTCAAATTCCTTAGCTAAATCACCACCTTCTCTTTTTCATGATTGCATCTCACTCCCCTAGCTACTGACAGACATCTGATGTCCAAAACACCTACCACGAGTGTTGACCGAACATTTCGAGTTTATTGGTTGTCTATATTCTCCAAGACATATGTCTGTCCATGTGTGTGTCGACTTCGTTTCATGTTCTTCATTTTCCTATAGTATCTATCGAAGCGGCGAAGAGAAGCCATCAATGGCTGGATAGAATAAGCTATACTGGATGCTAACAAGAAGGGAGTCAAGGTTCTGACTTTGGGTCTTCTCAATCAGGCAAGATGGTGTCTCCTCCCTAGCCAATCCCTTCATTATTAATGTAATTTTCATCGTCGAGAATTGCAGCGAGCTCCGATCCGACTTCTTTCAATATCATAATCAAAATTCTGTCACCGGGGTATCTGCTTTAGCCAAATTATTTAGTGTTTATCTATTTCAATTTTTTTTTTTTTTTGCTTTTAGGGAGAGGAATTGAATGGGAATGGTGAATTGTACATTCAAAAGCACAGAGATTTGAGGACCAAGTTGGTGGATGGGAGTAGCTTGGCAGTGGCAGTTGTGCTCCACAGCATTCCCAAAGGGACAAGCCAAGTTCTCCTCAGAGGCAACCTTAACAAGCTTGCTTATGCCATTGCCCATGCTTTATGTGCAAGGGGTATCCAGGTGCTCAGTCCTCCGCTTATCTATATAAAAGCATTTTGGTTGTATCTTGCACCTTTCTTTATTTTAATGAGATTTTGTTTTAAATTATTTGTTTTAGTGAAATAAAAGTGATGCAAGGCATTTTTCTTAAAGGGCTTGCATGTTCGCAATTGATATATATTATATGCACCTCTTTTTTCATCTAATTGATGCAAGAAATGTGGCAGGTGAATGTAGCTTCTAAGGATGAGCATGGGAAGCTCAAAAGGAGTCTCAACGGTAATTGACGAAGCAGTTTTTGAAGATAAGATCATTAATTGCAGATATGGTTGGTAGGAGATGGACTTGCCGAAGAAGAACAGAAGAAGACACCCAAAGGAACGTTGTTCATACCCTTTTCTCAATTCCCTCCGAAGCAAATCCGCAAAGATTGCCTTTACCACAGCCCTCCAGCGATGATCGCTCCCCGGTCGTTCAATAATTTGCACCTGCGAGGTTAGTTTGCTCAATTCTTTCGCCGGAATTATGTATTATGGAGTTACATTGAGTTATAGAATGGGGATAGCAAACTAAAAGCATGTAAGTTCACAAGGTATGCTGCAAGGCTATCTCGCTGGTAGATTGGACACATTACACATCACTTAACTTTAAAGATTATGGTCCCTTGTTTTCTCTTTACGGTGCAACACAAAAGGCTACGAACATTTTCGCTCTGTTTTGAACTCATTCCAATCTGTGCGCCATTCATTAAATAAATCTTAATGACACATTTAATGTTTGTCAGTAGATTATGTGATGAAACAAAAACATGTATTAACCCATTGTGCAAGACTAACCATAACATGTATATTTTCCTAACAAGAAAGATGGAAACTTAGTATTTAAGCTAAGATTTCTATGATTATATAAAAGGGCAGGCCACTAATCGCTACTGTTAAATCGACGTCACACACGCACATACGTAGTAAGGGAAATTAACCATCCTTGTACACACAAACGGCATGCGAAATTGTTTCGCAGCACATACGATTAACTCGAAACTATTCGGTTGCAGAATTGGTTGCCGAGAATGGTGATAAGCGCCTGGCGAGTAGCCGGGATAGTGCATGCGTTAGAAGGATGGAACGTGAACGAGTGTGGAAGCATGATGTTCGACATAGAGAAAGCATGGGAAGCAACCCTCCAACACGGGTTCTGTCCGCTGGCACTCCCAGCCATTTGAAGCAACAAGGGGACCGAATAATAAAGAAGAGGCATGAGGATTTGGAGTCACATCAATATAGAGCTTCTACATGTTTCGAGATATGCGGAAGATCAATTCTTGTAAAGTTTTGAGCACTGGCATGGGATTTTTGCCCAAGATTGTGCTAAGCAATTCTCATTCCGACATAACTCACGTGCAATGATAATGTCAGTAAAGTATTTCGGTTTGTCGGCATTGATCTACGTGGTTTAAAGCTGGATGGTCTCATTTCATTTGCTATTGTTTACTCCTTGAAAGAGAGTCGTTATAATTATGAGGAGATCTTAAGACTTCGTTTAGATTTTAGAATGTGAATAAGCTTTTCAAAAGCCTAATAAGTGACTTTCCCTTCTTGGTTGTCGGATTGTGGATCATGATACAACTTTGTATCTAGATCTAGCTATCATAATGTTCCCAAGTTGAGTCGGAACCTAGACATTGAACACGAGAGCATTTTTTGTCGTAATTGGGCTTAAAAAAATGCCCAAAAGCCCAACAGCCCAAATATAAATATAATTATAGATGTCGTCTTCTTCTTCCTCTTGTAGAGAGAGAGAGGAAACTGCACTTGCGTTCCGAATGTCCCGACAAATCGGATTAACTCCATTTCCTTACTCTTTATAAGGATCAATACCCTTCATTCATCTAATCGAAGGAATTTTTGTAGTTGAGATATAAATTTGGATACATACGAGTTCTGAGATGCTGGGTCAAATTTAGGATTTAGCTACAAAGTCATGTAGTGATGAAATTTTAGAATGTCGTGGAGTCGTGGCATTTTACAGAAGTTGATTTGGACTTACAGTTTGGTCAAAATAAATTTTCAAAATTTCACACGCGTTGTTGGACCTAGTTTCGAATAACTATATTTGGCGACGGCTTATCCTCGTCTCCTGACATCATTTGGGATGGCTAAACTAAGGGTCTTTTTGTGAAAGAGCTTTCCTTCAATAGTAAGCTCGATTTAATCGGAGCCTAATAGAGAGAGAAATGAAGCGATCAAATCCAGCACGACTTATGATTGACTCAATAGTAACTATTATGCCTTTTCACAGATTCACCACCCAAAATGAATCTTAGCAGCTTAAATAGTAAGCTATCAGATAAATTAACAGCTTATAAATATAGGTTTGCCTTGAATAATAGTAAGTTAACACTAGAGTAAGTAACTTATGATCCAAGTTACGACCGTCAACATAATAGTAGCTTATAAGTTTATCTCCCAATGAAAACTAACTCTTAGCTACTTAACTAGTAAGTTAGCACTGAAATTAATAGCTCACCAATATACCTCCGCTTTTAGTAACTTATCACCAGAGTTATCTTGCAACAAATAGTGCTGTAGGTTACAACGCCCCCTTAAGTTGCCTTTGGGATGTTACGGCAACAACAACCTATTTACATCTTATTGCCCTCTGATGCGGATATATCTAATTCTATGGAACATTTCTTAAGTTCCAACTTAATTCCATCAACGAACCCAGCACAATCGATGATTATCTAGGTCAAAGCTGAATTTGGTCACAACTTGCTTCGATGGGTCAAAGAATGAAGTAGTCAATAAGAAGACTATCGACCAAGTTACCAATTAAAGGAGTTGTCGATTCTTCTTTAACAATTAAGATATTAAAGTTACCGATTAAAGGAGTTGTCGATTCTTCTTTAACCATTTAGATATTAACTTCCGTTTCACCAAAATAATTCCTGGATTCAATGCGGATCAACAACATATCGATGGGAGGCTGTTTCGAACAATTTCCATTGATATTTGTCGATTTCCCAAGGTGACTATTTGCACGTCAAGGCTGGTTGACGAATTTTGAAGAATTACAATGCTGAAGAGTCAAGATTTCAAGTCTCCATGTATTTATTGCACTTCATAGTTCCTATGCGTCATCAATGCATAGGTATTTATGAGTCTCAAGAGTCAAAGTTATAAGTCCCTAGGACTTTAATTACTTTTTACTTTCTATGTCTTTTAACGTTTGTCTATTATCTGTGTCTTAGTCCCTTAATAAATAGAGGAGAGTCCTCCATTATAATTTAGACTTGAATATTGGATACATGAGATTTTCCTTTGCGTGAGCGAATATATTTAGAGAGTGGATAACTCCTATTCGGTTTCTTGATCCTTGAAGAGTGGATTACTCATCGGTGATGAACCAAGAAGCGCTTTATCCTCGGCTGGTGGTTTTCCTTTAGGCCTTGGTGGTAAGCTTCTCATGTCCTTAAGTCATTTAACCTTGGTGGTTGGCTTGTCCTTTAAGCCTTGGTAGTGAGCTTTGTTGATCTCGATCTTCATCCTTGGTTGGTGGCGTGTCCTTTATGCCTTGGAGGTGATCATATTCTATTCTGCGTTTGAAACTCACCCATCAACAACCATCCCGTACACACACACCTATCCATACACATAACTCAGAGAATTCCCCATTCCGGGAATCACTCATCCACGCACGTATCACCCCCTTACAGATAATTTTGTTCATGGAGTATATATTTATAGGTTTAATAGATTACTTGTGAGGAAAAAGCATTTACATCTATTCATTCGACTAATATAATGGAAATAGTCGATTTTTTTAATGAGTTTACTAATATTTAGAGAAAATTACGAAAACGTCTACATACTATTACCTAAATTCGGTTTTGGTCCATGTATTATATTCCATTCAAATGTGGATGGCATATATTGAGTCAACACTGGCAAATCGACACATGGACGTTCCAGGTACAAGCTTCTAAAAATTTGTAGTCTCGGTCCTCCTCGTACTTTTAGGAATGTTCAAGTTCAAATCCTATATTTTGATGTAGCACCTCAAATATAGTAGATCCGGAGTCACCACTTTATAGTGCTTCAATCCTAGGATCTTTCCAAATCCTTGGTTCAGGTAAGGAATCTAGATGCGATTTTAACCTTAAAAAATCATAATCGAGTCACTATGAATCAATTTAAGTAAACCTAAGTCGATTGGACACTTAAGGGTCTAGATAGTGATGGAAAAGTGAACTACACAAAACATATGAAGGAAACTGGCACAACAATACTCTGAGATCTTAGGTTCGGGGTTTGGTTACACTCGAGATGCATTAGCATCCCACGATGCTCTTTTGGTACAACAACCCTATTTTTAGTTAAGCCCTAAATTATTCATCAATTAATTCCCTAATCATGCATGATATAGTAAAATTTTAGAATGTCGCCAAAATATTTATTCAACGTCATTTTTTATTATTATTAATGAGGTTGTTTTCTCATGTGTATTGGTGTGACTCTATTTGTGTGTGAAAGTGAGTATGCAAATGTTCAATTTAGATGCAAAACACAACCATGATGACATGTTCATGGTTAGGACGTGACAAATTCAAATTTCAGATGTGATAAAAAAAAATGGCATAACATTGGAATATCCATATGTGGCAAGGCATGACAAATCATATGCACTAATGCTTTATATATTTCTGTGTTACTAAACATTCGCTGGTCTTCTACTGGAGAAGAGATCAATTTCGTTTACTGTTAGAAACCATAGGAGTTATGCCATTAGCATTGTGGAAATATGTATATCTTTAAAATTTTGGACTATATCGTCCACTGATATTCTGACTTCCAACAATAAATAAATACATATAAATATAAATGAAGGAGGAGGAAACGTATAGCATAGCCAAAGCCTGATTAATATCTTTACTTGGGAAGGCCATCACAATGTTAAAATATGACTCGAATTTAAGTCCTTTGAACGGACTCAACTAAAAGTTGAATTGTGTATAAGCATGAAAGTTGAAAGTCGAATCTATAAGATTCGGAAATTCCTTTAACACTGGAGTCCACTTCGATATTCATCCCATTTTGGCCAACAATTGCTAACATGGATGCCGGCTGTCCTACATGGCACGGTTAGCGCTGACGTAGATAATTTTTTATTTTTTATTAAATGTTCAGAATTTTTTCTTTTTTTTTCGTTTTCTCTTATTTCTCAGTCGCCGAGGCCGGAGGGAAATAGGGAAAAAAGAAAAGAAAGGGAAAGGAAAAAGAAAAAAAAAAGGAGAAAAGA